TGCTCAAGGCAGGATCATCCCGGACTGAGCCATCCCAGCCAAGTGTCTGTCTAACCTACTCCTGAAAATTTCCAGGGATGGAGTTTCCCCAACTTCTCTCGGCAGCCTGTTCCAACACTTGACCACCAGCAGAGTCAGAACGTTCTTCCTAATCATCAACCCAAATTTCCTCTGCTGCTCTTTGAGGCCATTGCTCCTGGTCCCGTCCCCTACAGCCACAGAGAAAAATCAATCTCCGTCCTCTTTATAATCTCCCTTCAGGGATTTGAAGGCTGTCATCAAAGCCCTCCTCAGCCTTCTTTTCTTCAGATTAAGTAATCATTTTTAAGACTGATGTTGGGAGGTACTCAGAGATAGCACGTTTGTGGGAGGTCTGTACCAAAGTCAGATAAACCAGAGCAGGGAAGTATTCTGTATCCCGATTTTCCTTATTCCCATCCAGAAATTTGGGGGTCTGTTGGAGATCCACTGGACCTCTGGAAATTGTATTAGTGCCACTGAGTGTTTGTGGTGCACCAGGATGTACTACCCAGATAATAATTTCCCTCAAGCGAAGGAAAATTGTTTATAAAGAGCTCTGTTCTCAGACAATGTTGTTTGAAGTGTGAAAAGGCTCCCTGAAGGGAACTGGTGCTGTTTACAATATTCAATCAGTCTCTTATCTGGCTCATCCCTGCACTCTATTTATTCTGGAGCATTGCTGGTGCTGTATGTATGTGTGTATCTATAATATATACATAACCAGAACAGTTACGCTCCTTCAGCATTATCCATCACAGCTAACGCCATGTTTCCTGTCATCATACTGAGGAGTATTTCCAAGTACGAGTTGGCCAGCAGAAGGTTTGAATTGGCTGTCTTCAGTAAGTATGAGGGTTCTGAAAATAATACCAGATGAAAGGGTCTGACTGCTATTGCGGGCAGGGAAGACGCAGAGCCAAAGGAACATATGGTTTGCAGTATGTTAGTGAAGAATGATCCAAAAGGGAACGAATGTGTTTTGTCTTCGTTGCAAGTTCCTTTAAAGCTTGAGAACGCTAGAGCGAGAGAGATTATAGAAAGCAAACTGAGCCCAGGTAGGTGGGTAAAATAAATTGGTTTAGATAAAATAATAGTACATCTGCACTTCAGCGACAGTGCATCCCTGCTAAGCTGTTCCTCCCTATGCCCCACCTCCGCTCCCATTCACATCCTCCAAACCTGGAAATGCATCACTGAGTCCGCTCTGGGATATCCCTCCGGGGCTGCTGTTCCCGTCTCAGCCTGCCTGAGACCAACTGCTAAGAACAACTCCAGAGCAGCTGGGCCAGTTTATTTCCAGGTTTAGAGCATGCAGATGGGAGTGGGTCTGCAGGATGTTGGAGTGTGCTCAGGTATGTCCTGGGTATCACCACTGTGGTGTAGCCCTGCCATAAGACCTGATCATTAGATAAGATTCCTTTTGCAAGTTCAATGCCCCGTTCTGTTATCCATGCCTTGCGATGTGTAGTCCCATATAATATGTGTCAATGCAATTACTCACGGAAGAAGGGGCCATTCATTAAGAAGGCTGTCAGAGTCTGGCATGGGTGCACAGTCCTGCAAGACTGAGCACTCTCTGGACACACTAGGCTTGTCTATACATGTCCCTTTTAAGTGGGATTAGCCTAAAATTGCCATTTTTAAGGCTCATTAAGGGCACGTGTCCACATGTGCATGCCATTCATCCACCCCAAAATGGTGACTTTAGGCTAAGCCCACCTAAATTTAATACCCGCTTAAAGCAGGTACCAAATTTAAGCTGACATAACTAAGTCACGTTAGTCCACAAGTAGGTGCTTAATGGCATTAGCGTGGTATGCATCAGTGGATGCACACTGTGTTAATGTGCATTAGCATGGCCACACGTGGGCTAATGCAACTTAACTAATGCCAGCCTAAATTTAATGTGCATTAGCACATCTAAACGTAGATGCATGCCTAAATTGCCTTAATGCACCTTAAACAAAGGTGCATGAAGGTTAACGCACCTTAAAGGTGCATTAAGGTTAGGAACACATAACTACGTGTGTAGACAGGCCCATTGTGAGCTTAGCACCTTGGAGGATCAGGCCCTGAGCTCTTAAGGAAAATGTCAGACTTGCTGGAGCCTTGCCTGTTTCCACAAAACAAGCTTCTGCCTGCAGCCCTGTGAGTGGGCTCCTTACCTGACCCCATAGGAAGAGTTCACTCTTCCAGGCTCATGCAGTCCCCAACCTGCATGTCGACAGAGATTTCAGTTCATACCACTTAGAACGTGGACCCTTATCTACTCACAACTGGACTAAAGACAAGCGTGATGCCACAATCCATCCAAAAGCTGTCATGCTCTAAAATCTCTCAGTCACTGCAAATCAATAACCCAGCATCAGAAGCTTAAATCCAGAGTGTCAAACTCATCTAGCCACACAGCCCTCCCTCCTGGCCCCCCTGCTCTCACCTGCAGGGTCAATGGGGCACCACTGGGGACCAGAATATGGGGCTTTGTGGGCCAGTTCCAGCCTACGGACCATATTTGACGTCCTTAGCTTAAGCCAGTCAATTCCCACCCAGTTGCTTATGATGCTCAGCACACTGTAAGATCATGCTTTATTCCAGAATGGGTTTTATTTTTTAACCTAAGATTTTTTTGTTCCTGAACAGTGCAGTGCATGAGTAGTTGAGATCCTCCAAATGGAAGGTACTACGTAGGCATACAGTGGTGGTGGTATTGCAGTTATATCGTTCTAGTCTGAGTTAATTACTCAAAATGGTTGCATGTGCTCTTAAAAATATCTTAGAGCAGTGGTTCTCAACCTTTTTTAGACTCAAGGCCTCCCTCAAAAATGCCAGCTCTTAGCTTTCATTCATTTTTTGACTGTGGAAAAATAATAGAGCATTTCTTCTGTTGCAAAGGACTCAAAAAGACCACAGCAGGGCAGAGTGTTTTGGACTCTCTGGATTCCTATTTGACATCTCTGTGTTTATCTTGTGAACCATGCGTAAGTGTTTGCACACCTGGCAATGCTAATATTGTACCGCACCCTTTAAAGGGATCTCATGGTACCCAAAGGTGTTGTGGCCCCTTGGTTGAGAATTGCTGCCTTAGATTTTTCTATGGACCTCCTCATTATGGTGGCTGAGGACCTTACACTCTTAAATAATCTTCCCAGGAAGATAGGGCAGTGTTGGTAACCTGATTTTACAGAAAAGCACAGAAAAACAGAGGGCTAAATCCTATTTCACTTTTACACCCTCAAGTAGCACTTACCTAGCTGTGTAAATGCAGGTTTGGGCACCTGTGCGGTCTTTGGGTTCCCTCTGCACTTGCGTATAGTCACCTCGTGGTTCCCTTTTGAACATGCTCAGAAGGCTGCACACTACACTTCATCTATTTTGGGGCAGAACAGGACAGAATAAGATCACCTGGGCGCACAAATCATGTTGTGCCAATCCCAGAATTCAGTCAGAAAAACCATGACTGGAAGGAAACTTCCCTCCTTTTAGACCAATATATTCACCTTGCCTGGGCAGCTGTAGATCTGCTTTCTAGGTCCCTTTCACAGAGAGAAGGGGTTTGAACCTGCATCTCAGCACAGTGCACTAACCACCCAGCCAATGCCAACAGCCTTCTTCTTGAAGCTGATCCCCTGGGAGGCCAGGAGAGGAAGACACATGGGACCAGGAGCAGAAGAGCAAGCAGATGGAGAGGGGCTTGGCTTGGTGGGTATGACCCTGGTAGGGAAGGGGCCCTAGTGTCAGATCCTTCCCTCTGTTTATCCAATGTATATTAAATGGAAGGTGCAGGAAAGCCACCAGGGGATTTCACAACTTTGCCTTTCCCTGATTATCAGTTACTAGACTAAAAATGTGGTCTCTCATTCTTTGTTCATTGATTTGCTCCAGTTTGCACATTTGAGCTTTGTCACATAGCGCTCAGTGGTCCCAGCTGGTATCTTGTCAGCAAACTGTACCTTTTTCACAAGAGGCTTTCTTCTTGGGTGCACCATGTGCTTGAAATTTCTGGATGACTTTGCCGAGCAATTTGCAATCCCCTTTGGGCTCTCACTGGGGAAGTATTTTCTCCCTCTAATGTCTCCAGGTCTGTCAGATGCATCAGTGTGAAAGTTATCACCCTCTCCGGTTTCTCTGCAATGTCATTTGGCTTCCAAGAAACTTGGGGAGTGTTACAACTTGCTCCCTCACGTTTCTGCCACATTCCCTTGCTAGAAGAGAGGCCTTTGCTTCCTGACTGCGGTCACGTTACGTGGGTGAGGGGTGCAAAGAATGTGTCCCTGACGGATGGCATAAAAACCACTGGCGTCTACGGTTACTGCTAGAGCAGTCCTCCAATGCAATCACTTGGACTGCAGCAGGGTCGAATTTGTCCCTTTCTGCAAAAATGAATTATTGGCACGAGAGCTGGAACATTTTTTTTAAGACTGTGTTTTGTTGAGGTTGAGCTATCTTGTGCAGCCTGTAGTCAGAGAATCAATGTGTCTGCTTTGTTGTAAATGTACATTTGTTATGGCAAACAGCTATGTATGGTTCAGCGTGGCATGAAAATCTCCAAGACAAACATAATTCAGAAAGGTTGGAGTGTTTTGGAAACTGCTGCCCATCTTGAGGCTAAAGCTAGTCTCAACATGTTGATGTTAAAACTGAATCTGTAGAAGAAAAAGAAGTGGAGTGATTTCAGATAGAACAGTAAGGATGATAGAAAGCAGCCACACACCCACAGAGGTCAAGCTTGTTTGCAACTGTCAGACCAACAGACCTGGTCTGCGCTAGATTTTATTGCCCCAGATTTTCTTGCGTTGCTGCCAGCACTGACAACACTGGGAAATTTGAAGCAAAAAGCCTAATGCATATGAGACTGTCATTTCACTGCATAAACAATCATGCTTCACACACTGGTCCCCTCTGATGACTTTTATACAGTGAGAGGCATGAGAGACTATTTTAGAGCAAAGCATTTTTTTAATAGGATGTTTTTGTTTCAGGATTGCTGGTGACACCGCCCTCAGTAAAAATATCCATGAGTCAGTCAGTGCTCAGATCCGAAAGAACTTCGCAAAGAGCAAATGGAGAGTAAGTGACTTCTGCACGGGGGTTACACTGGAAAGCACGAACTAGAGGTGCACCGATATATCAGCTGCATATCGGATCCACACCAAGAAAAGAGAAGTTTACATTATTGGCTATCAGCTTTTTTTGGCCATTGTAGCCAGTAATGTTCTTCTATAAACATAATTAATTATGCCTTCTGACTGGGGCCCCTAGACACTTGGGTTCCCTCTCACCCATGAGGTCAGGGCCCCTGAATGCCTGAGTTCCTTCAGGAAATGGCAGGTTTCCC